AACTATAAAAATTCACTTAGCATAGTGCTTAGGATATACTGTATTACACCTTAACCAACATAGTGTTGATGTAAGACACACTATTACTTTATGTTCTATGAAGTAATTATTTAAACACTACAAAAACTCTATATAAAATTTTATCATTAACAATTTTTTTAAAATCAATATAAATTGCAATGCATCATTCATAGTGTAAGGAAGTTCTGGGGACATAATCTGTAAGAAGCTGCATTGCAAACCCAAAAGACCACCTCTCTCTGATAGTTCAAACCCACCAGTAGTTCCATGGAAGAAAGATGGACAGTTTCATCCCATGCCGTGTACAGCCTCAGAAATCCAGTGGAAGGTCAGCCATGAGTTGGTTCCAATTGGACAGCAAATTTGAGTTTTTTTATTGGGTTTGAGTTTGTTTTTTATTAACAATAAAAAGATCTTTATTAAAGTCAAGAGGAATGTACATCTTAAATCAATTAAGGATAATGATAACTCAAAATCCAAATTTATTACTTTCTAGTTGATTCAAACCAATGGCATTCCTCTAACCTAGAGGCCATGAGATCTTCACAAGAGGAGACTGCCCTTCTGGAGTAGTTGACAAATTCAAACTCCTGACCCTTTGGTTAGCATTCCAACACTTAGCACACTGTGCCTCCAAAGATACTTAACTGTCATACTGGGTGCTCACTAAGACTGGAGCAATGGACGGATGAGTTGCTACATAGATGAGTGAGTGAATAAATGAGGTGGATGGATGGATAGATAAATGGATGGGTAGGTGAATGGATGAGTAAATGGATGAGGATAGTTGGATGGATGGATAGACAGTTGGATATTTGGTCTGAACACTGTTAAGAGTGAAAACTCAGACTGGCTCATATGTGTATTCATTAAAACAACTTGTACAGTACCAACATATAGTTAGCGCTTAGTGAATGTTTTGTTGTTGTGTACTATCGAGTCAAAACTGATACATAGCTGACCCTCCAGCAGAGTTTCAGAGGCAGTAATTGCATAGGAAAAGATTGTCCATCCTTCTCTCATGGAGTAACTGGTGGCCTCGAACCACATGCCTTTGGATTGGCAGCGCAGCTTCCTACCTCAAGGCCACTGTAGATCCAACTGTGATTGTGTACTGTTGAGTCAGAATTGACTCATAGTTGACCCTCTTGACAGGGTGGGGGTTTTCAGAGGCAGTAAATCACATAGGAAAAGATTGTCCATTCCTTTCCAGCGGAGCAACTGGTGGATTCAAATTACATAATTCTGGGTTGGCAGTGAAATTCCTTACCTCTAAGCAAGCGACTATAGTCTCCTAAAATAGTAATAATAAAGGAAGGACAGATAAATTTAAAGAAAAAGAAAACAGAAATGCCAAGTAAGCATGGGGGTAGAGGGTGTGTGAGGGGGAATTAGGGAAAGTTTTAAGGCCTTTGGCCTTTATGGGATCATCATTGTTTTAAATATCTGATATCTATTTACTGTATCATTTCCTAGAGGTGTTTTACCCCTTCTCCAGAATATTCTGTTGCAGGTTGTTTGAGAACAAAACTCTAAGAGTTCACAGAATTATAACAGAATGATAAAGAATGTACAAACTTTCCTTTCATTCATTTATATATTCATTCTTCCCAGAAATATTACTGAGTGCCTAAAAAAATGGTTAAATACAAAGGATTTAACAAGGAGGAGACAGAAAAATTAGCAGACAAATGGATGCATGGGATGCAGGTCAACATGACGTTAGCACAGAGTTCCCTGAGAGTACCTTTTGATTTCTTTACTGCCGATGCCAAGAGGTTGATTGTGGATCCAAGTTAGATGAAATCATTAACAACTTCAGTCGTTTCTCCATCTATCATGATACTGCATATTGGCCCAGTGGTGAGGATTTTTGTATTTTTTTTACTTGCTGTGTGCCATCAAATTGGATCCGACTGGCACAGGAGGAGCTTGCCCCTCCTTCTCTAGCGGGGCATCTGGTGGATTCGAACCCTGTGCCTTTGGGATTACAGCACAGCTGGATTTTTATTGATTTTGAGATGCAATCCATATTGGAGGCTATAGTTCTTGATCTTCTGCAGTAAGTACTTCAAATCCTCCTCACTTTCAGCAAGCAAGGTTGTGTCATCTGCCTCACTCAGTTTGTTGATGAGTCTTGCTCTAATCCTGATACCACACTCTTCTTCAAAAAAAATCAGCTTCTCCAATGATCTGCCTAGCATATGGATTGAAAAGGTATTGAGAAAGGATGCACTCCTTTCTTGATTTTGAACCGTGCAGTGTTCTTTTGCTGTGTTTGGACAACAGCTTCTTGGTCTTAGTAGAGTTTTCATATGAGTAAATCATGTGTTCTGGGATTAGCATAGTTCTCAATGTTAGCCATAATTGGTGGTGATTCACACAGTCAAATTCCACTACACATAGCTTGGAGAAAGTCTGCTCTTAAGGACCTCTTCAAAGTCCTTAAGAGCCATGAAGTTAGTTTCAAGATTAAGGTGTGCCTGATTCAAGCCAGAGATTTTCTGTCACTTGTTATGCATCTCAGAGATTGACAGAGAATAAGGATGGCAGGAAAATGATTGATGTCTTTAAGTAGTGGCATTGAAGAAGAATGCTACTTAAAAAAAATACCACCAGATATATCTTGGAGAAAGTGCAACCACAATGCTCTTTGGAAGCAATGATAATGAAGTTTTATTTCACATATTTTGGGCATATCGCTAGGAGATGGCTATTCCTTGGAGGGGGACATCAATCTTGGAAAGGTGGAGGGTAAGCAAAGGAGAGAAAGACCCTCAATGAGATAGATTGATATAGTACCTGTTGCAAGGAGCCAAAATGTATCAGTGCTGATAAGGATGGCGTAGGAGGGGACAGGGTTCAGATCACTAAGAGGCATACTCAACTCAACAGCACTTAACAACAACAAATCACACAGAAAGAGATTGCCCATTTTTCTTCCACAAAAATAGTTGATTCGAACCACATGCCTTTGGGTTGGTAGCACAGCTTCTTACTAGTAGGCTCCTAATTTGGGAAATAATGCATTACTACAACTCTCTATGAAAGGTACCCTGAGATTATTAGAAGTGTTTTACATAGCATTTGCTTAAAAATTCCTTGAGCTCATAACTCTGATAGCTTCCATTTTTTAACAAAACATGAAAAAGTTTTTAATCTAGTATTAAATATTTTATTATATGGTGTCATCATATTTTTGCACTTAATTTTGAGATAGTCTATTTCAGCTATACAGAAAGCATTACTTTTGCATAGATATACCTTGGAAATTCTCTGTACAGTCCAATGATTCTTTTATCCCCTAGTCTATGGTACCCTGGTACTGGAAAATCCTTTCTATCTTTCGTGAGACCTTTGTTATCCTTTGACTGACTTCTCATCCCTCAAGTATTCTTCCAGGGTCTCTTTGATCAACTGCATTTTCCCATCACATTCTCTCTTTTATGCCAGCGTGACTAGTGTATGGGCATTGAGTTCAGGCTGCTTGGTGTACTCCACTACTAAAATCATTCAGTGTCACGAAATAGAGTCAGTATTAATAATACCGTCTTCACATTACTGCTGTGAGGACTAGGTGAGAAAAAAAACTTACGAAACACTTATTACAAAACTGGACAAAATTTCTGACATTTTGTACCTCACTAATTGTTTTCACTGTTCTTTTATTTCATCTATCACGTACCATTTTACTTCTATATACCATATTCCTTTCCTCTCAGTGACGTTATTAGGGAGGAAATAAGAGGATCACATTTTTATTCATCTATGAATCACCTACAATGCCTAACATATTAGCAGACAGTAGACAGGTTCAAGTGGAGAAAGGACATAGTGGATTCATGTACCAGTGAATTTTGGATTTATGTCTTCAAGACAAACTGACTGTAGTGACAAAGGCGTAGTTCTGGAATAAGATAGCCTTCTTTCTAGAGCAAAGTTCCACATCAAGGAATCACCTACATTTCTTCCTTGTACATTCTCTCCTCTTTGGAAAAAAGTAGATCTTTGTACATCATCAGTCTGTTGCTGTTAGTTGACTCCAACTTATAGTGACCCTGTACAGTGGAATGAAATTCTGGTCTTCAAAAAAGCACAAAAGTTATGTTATGAAAAGAAATTTAGGAAACTATCTTCATATCTCATTCCTGAGGCTGATTTTTTTTTTATAACTGAGTGTGGTCTTACAGGAGACCTTCTAGAAGATCCAGATGAAGCCTGCGGAATGGGCAAGGTCAACTTTTATGAGTGCTAGACTGACAACTTCACTTAACGTTATGGCCCAGATGTTTTGCGAGCCTGCTTGGATTTGATTTAAAAGAAATTGGCCTAAAGTTCACCCCTGCTGAAAGATCTGGTCTCAGCAGGCAGCTGGGTGTGTCTTTTCTTATTAATTCGGCCAACAAGTATACAAGATATTACGTAACCAATCCTGACTACAGAGCAGCTTCCGTTATTAAAATGAGTTTGTAGTGTCAATTTAGAAGTGAGCTTTTTAAAAATAATGGACAATTTAGCTCTACATCTGTGATTCAACACTCTCCACAAAGCTATGTGGGCATCATTCCTAAACCAAATGTTAAGAAATAAACATATTCTACACTTGATATAGCTACGTGTAGAATAAAACAACTTATGCTACAATAGCACATCAGTGAAATGTTTGGCTGTTCACAGGGAAAGGTCAGTGGTTTGAGTCCACCAATCAGTCAGTGGAAGAAGGAGGTGGCAATCAGTCTGCCTGCCAGAAAGATTGCAGCCTTAGAAAGTCCCTGTTCTATAGGATTGAATCAAAATTAGCTCAATAGCATATGACAGCAATAACATTATCAAAGTCATTGCTGGAAAAGCATTTAGAACAGTACCTCAAACATAGTGGAGATTTCTTAAGTGTTTGCTGAATGAGATAAAGTTTGTTCTAAAAGTCATTTGTTCATATGTTTCATGAGAGTCACTAATACTTTTTCTTTCCTCCCTAGAAAGCATTGTACTATTTCTTAAAGGCTGCAAAGGCAGGGAGCGCAAATGCCATGGCATTTATAGGAAAGGTATGTGCTTAATCTTGATCAACATTGTTCATTTTATTGTGACTTTAAAAACTGAAAAAATAAATGGTGCTCACTAATTGACCCAGTATACGGCGATTGGGTTGGAAGTCTATTCATGGAGGTAGCTAAGAGGGAAGCCAGTTGCAAAATTGAGTTATGTTCTTTTTTGTTGTTATTATTGTGAGATATACATATTTATATCTTCTTAGAAGGAGCACAGCTCCTTATCCTCTAAGCCACCATATTCATACATACTTACATATATATATATATTGTTGTTATGTGCCATCAAGTCATCTGAGACTCATAGTGACCCTATGTACAAGAGCCCTAAACCCTGCTCCATCCTGTGCCAATCTCACTGTCTCCAATACACCTACCCTCATTACCCCAGTCACTGAATCAATCCATCTCATTGAGGGTCTTCCTCTCCTGCCCTGTCCCTCCATCCTCCCAAGGATGACGTCTTTTTCCAAGGACTGTGCTCGCCTTGCAACATGTCCAAAGTATGTATGTCAGAGATAGATAGACAGATGATAGACCAAAAAAAATCTATGTTTGCTGTGATGCTGAGCTTTGTGTCATTTGGGTGTCAAATGCCTTACCCATGTTAGCCATGGTGGACAGTATTTGGCAGAGCTCCCAGTTTAAAACTGGTTTGGAAACAGGAGTGACATCCACGTCCTAAACCACATGCCTATGGAAATTCTATGGACTTTGGAGAAATGAGGATAGTTATAGAAAGACTTCAAGTCTTTTGTTCATAGGATCACTATGAGTCATCATTGATTGGATGGCAATCAACAACATATCTTACAAAATTTCTATTTTCACATTTGTTGCATGTACAGCTTAGCAACATTAACTTCATGTATCAGACTGTGCAACCATTACCACAGGTTGGGAAGAAACTCCATACAACAATAACCTTTATCTAAGATGCCAAAAGTAGGCTTGACAACTTTACAATAGTCAGTTGTTTAAAAAAAAAAAAAGTACACCCACCCATGCAAAATCCTGGGACTGTTTCCAGAGAATCGTGCTGAGAGTAAAAGTAAGTGTCAAAGCAGCAGATTCTATATGATTACATTCAATTTACATTTTTTTCAATTGACATTCTTGAAGTGACAAAATTATAAAAATGGAGACTAGTTTTGTGATATCCAGAGGTTAAAGAGAAAGTAGAAGTCTGTTGTTAATAGGGTCATGATAAGTCATAATTGACTTGATGATACCTAACAACCAAAACAACAACATTCTAGGCCTTTTGTTGGATATATGCAAATATTTTCATCTGAAATTGGTAGCATTTTATCCTATTCATAGTGTCTCAGAAGTTTTTCCTTTCAGTAAAGCAGAATTTATCCATTTTTCTTACATGGATTATGCTTTTATTGTCAACTCTTGGAATCTCTTGGCTATACATGAGTCCTGAGGAGTTTAATTTTTTTTCATATCTTTTACTTTAGATTTATTATTGTGCCTTATTTAGAGTTATTTCTTATATAAAACTTAGATGGATACTAATTTTTATGAATATTATTCAAGTACATTCCTTAAATAAAGATCTTTTTCTTCTCTGAAAATAAAAGTAGCTTTGAAAGTATACCTGCCCCGTGACTCCTTGACTGGAAGTATCCCAGAGTCCTCTTCCACTGATATGTACCAGAAGATCCAGCCAAATTATGTACAGAGATCTTGGTATAAACCTCAGGTCATCCCTATACTTCATCCTTTCTACCCTAGGATCAGAACAGCTCCAGCTGTGTCAAGTCTCTCCTTCCATCATTCATCATAGAGGGGAAACCTGAGGGCCCCCACTGAGAGATGTTCGTTCAGAGAGTCTGCTCTGTCCTTTGCATTCTCCCCTAGAGTTGCCTTTGGCTCCCTGCAGCCAAGTCACAGTAGTAACCCAGTTCCCTGCTTCTGGAAGTTCTATGTGCAGTAAACTTAGATGGAAGGAAACAGGAACAGACACAGGTGTGATTCACCTCTTTCCCCTTGGACTTGCTAACTCCAGAATGTATGGAGTAAACAATTTCCTGAGATTATTTTTTTTAATTGAGGTAAAATTTACAATTTTGACTTATTCTATTCAAGGACATTGAGTTTCAAAATTTTTTTAATCATCCTTAAATTTTTTTATTTTGATACTATCTTTTATTATTTTCCTAGATGTACTTAGAGGGGAATGACGCAGCTCCTCAAAATAATGCTACTGCCTTCAAGTACTTTTCCATGGCAGCTAATAAGGTATGTGTTCAGCCCATGGTGGGAAAAACACTGAAAAGCCTTGATTTGTATCAAATGAGGATTGGTGCCATAGAGTTGACGTCACAGCTCCATGCCCAGCTGGGTCTGACCAGAATTTCGTGTTCTGGAGACATAATGTATCATTGAAAATAAAATATTGAGTTAGTGACAGAGAAGACACGAATTCATGGCTAAGTGGAAAATGGCAGTGGCTTATGCTGTCCGTGCAGGGACCAGTTAGTTTATGGTTTTTAATGAGGATCTTAACTTTTTCTCTACTGTACAATGGATGGGGCCACCTAGTTAAAGAAATAGGAAACGAGATGAGAACAGAGGAAAAGGTAGATCAGTTAGTTTATGGTTTTTAATGAGGATCTTAACTTTTTCTCTACTGTACAATGGATGGGGCCACCTAGTTAAAGAAATAGGAAATGAGATGAGAACAGAGGAAAAGGTAGATTGGTAAGTAGCTGCAGTGAATGCAAGAGTAGTGCAAAGAAAAATGTAAAAAAGAGATGTCCCATTCTCTCTGGTCAGTTCTTACCCAAAGTCCAGGACTCCACCAGGTGAGAAGTTGCCAAGGGCATGGTTAGGGAAAGTAGTTGAGAACTTAAAGACAGGTAGAACATGTGGTTTGAATGCCAGACTTGCATCTTACCAGCTGTGTGAACATAGGCAACTTGTTATTATTAGTTACAATCAAGTCTGCTCCAACTCAACTCCTGGTGATTGTATATATGTTGTTGTTGTTGTTAGATGCTGTCAAGTCCATTATGATCCATAGAGACCCTATGAACAACAGATGTGAATCCCATTCTATCTTGTGCCATCCTCACATGCTGTTGCACACTTGAGTCCATTGTTGCAGTCATGGTATCAGTTCACCTGACTGAGCCTTCCTCTCTTTCACCAATCCTCCACCTTTCCAAGCATAGTCTCTCCTTGTAACGTGCCAGAAGTGTATAAGATCAAACTTTATCATTTTTGTCTCCAAAGAGCACTCTGGCTTCACTCTCTCCAAGACGCAACTATTTGTTCTTTTGGCAGTCCATGAGATATGTTCAGTAGTCTTCTCCCACACCACAGCTCAAAGGCATAGATTAGTTTTCTCTCATCCTTACTCATTGTCCAGCTCTCATATCAAAGGCATACAAAAAGGAGAATGGATTGGACCTGTGATCAACTCCAGTCTAATGGACTGGATCTCTTTGGATCAGTCCTGATCCTGATGCTCTTCATGTGGTGTGTCATCCCCTCTTACCTGTTTCCCTGCTTGCTCTATTCTTTTAAATATAAAAAGAAATTGATTTGAAAATACTCTCTGTATGGACCATTAGCATGATAACACAAACGTCATTCCCAAATGAGATTATAATCAGAGGTATCTTATTGCCACTTAGTCAGTTCCTACACATAGCAACTGTCATAGATTGAACTGTGTCCCCTGAAACGTATACTTTATTTGGCAGGGCCATGTTTCTCATTGTTTGAGGCATAAAGATGTAACATGGCAGTACTGTAATAATAATGTAATATAGCAGTTAGGTGATAACACCAAAGAAGTGATATGACGTGGTTCCTGCTGTTGAAATCTTCCCCTGGTAGTCTGGGTTCAGTCAGGTTTACATCTGTCAGTCAAGTCAACTACAACTCACAGCAACTCCTGTGAACAATCTACTAAACCTATTGTTGTGTACAGTAGCATCAGAACCAACCCATAGCTGACTCTCCAGCGAGTTTTCAGAGGCAGGTTAAACACATGAGAGGAGACTGCCTATCCTTCTCCCTGTTAGATTACTCTCAATTATTTCATGCTTAAAAAAACATCTTCACAACAACATCTACCACCTCGTGTTGGTGAATGGCCTTGTTAAGCTTTCTGTCTTTGCAAAGTTGGAAGCATTTTGCTGACTTATTTCATACTGTAACACTGGCATTAAAGATATGTTCAAACTGGGAATCTTTTCAACTGTTCTCAGTTTTTTAAAAGCCCACATGCCGCGCTTGGAACCTATTTATAAATGACTAGCACCTCCTAGCTGTTGCTATTGTGGTGTAAATTATGGAGAAAGCTTGTACTTGGCTTCTCTCCCATGTAATTTATATGAAATCACAGCTCAGCATGATGGTTATCTGGAGCCCCATTAGTTTAGGATGACAAGAGAAAGCAGACTGGAACTGAGGTGGTAAAGCAGCCTAGGAAAATCTCTTACAATCTGGCAAATAATTGATATGTTAGCCAAAAGAATAATATCTAGACATTGGATATAGAACTTAACCCAACTCCCAAACTACTTGGGATAGTTTGCACCTACTAATGCCCTAAGCTCAAGATGTCTGCCTTTATGAATGCAATCTGAAATTGTGTTTGGAATGTCATTAGGTGGGCCCAGCCTCTTCCTTTATCACCACCTTGACAGCTCATTAGATGTCTTACTTGTTGAGTGTTGTTTTTATGTGCTGTCAAATGTTGATTACTACTCATTGTTGTTGTCAGCTGCCATTGAGTTGAGTACAACTCACAGCAGACCTGAACCCTATCCTACCCTGGGCCCTCCTCTTCACCTCTGACACACTTGAGCCCATTGCTGCAGTCACTGTGCCAATCCATCATGATGGGAGTCTTCCTCTCTTTTCTTGACCTTACATCTTTCCAAGCAGGATGTCCTTTTCAAAGAAATAACTTCTGCTAGCAACATGTCCAAAGTGTGAAAGACACAGTTTCACCATCTTTACCCCCAAGGAGTACTCTGGCTCCACCTTCCCCAAGACATATGTGTTTTGTTCTTTTGGCAGGCTGAGACCCAGGAGCAACCAGGAGGACAGACTGCTTATTTGTTGTTGTCTACCACAGAGTCAGAACCAACCCATAGCTGACCCTCCAGTGGGTTTTCAGATGCATTTAATTGCACAAGAAGAGATTGCCCATCCTTCTGCTGCAGAGCAGCTGGTGGCCTCGAACCACATGCTTTCTGGTTGCAGTGCAGCTTCTGAACCTTACCCTATCCTCACCATCTCTGATAGCTCAAGCCCTTTGTTACAATCAATCTATCTTATCAAAGGTCTTCATATCTTTCTCTAACCATCTACTTTTCCATCATGCAAAGCATGATGTTCTTTTCCAAGGACTAGCTCTTCCTGATAAGCATGCCCAATGGATGTGAGATTAAATTTCACCATGCTGCCTCTAAAAAATTGCTTCTTCCAAAACAGACTCTTCCTTGTTTCTCAAAACTTAAAAAGGATAATACTTTTCCAGTGCTCAAGCTTTTCTTTTTTCTTCTCCTTTTTAAAGCATTTTTATTTTATATTGATTAGCTTACAAAGTTTACATTGTGTATCGCATTATCCTTCATTCACATTATGTTTCATAAAATCATTCCCATTTATTATGTTTTATAAAATTAACCATTGGAATATGCTCTGTCTTTCCAGATCCCCTCTGGATCTTTCACATTTCCTTTACCTGCCCCCCTCCACCCACAAATTGTGTGACCCTATGATTTCCCCCCACCCATCCTCACCTCTCTGCTCCTTCCCTCCCCTCCCTGGATCCTCATAGACATTTTACTAGTTATCTTTCCATTTCTACAATAAATGTCTTATAAACTATCTGTCCTTATGAGACTGAGTTAATTCACTCAGCATCATTCTCTCCACTCTCTCCCAAGTTATGTAGTAATTTTTTAAATTGTTGCTTCTGAGTACTGTATAGTATTCCATCATGTGAATGTACCACATTTTCTCAATCCATTTGATTGTGGTCGGACATTTGGATGTTTCCATGTTCTTGTAATTGTGAATAATGCTGCTATAAACATTGGTGTACAAATCTCCACTTGAGTATCATTCCTAATTTTCTCAGGGCATATTCCTAGCGATAGAATAGCTGGGTCATATAGAATTTCTATGTTCAGCTTTGTGAGGAAACACCAAACTGCCTTCCAGAGTGGTTGTACCATTTTACAATCTCACCAACAGTGTATGAAAGTTCCTCTGTCTCTGCATCCTCTCCAAAATGTATTGCTTGCTGTCCTGTTAAACTTTGCCACTGCTACTGGAGTGAGATGGTATCTCCCTGTGATTTTGATTTGCATCTCTCTTATTGCCAGTGATTTTGAACATTTCTGAATATCTGAATATCTTCCTCTGTGAAAGGTCTTACCATGTCTTTTGCCCATTTTATAATTGGGCATTTTATTATCAGTCTTTTTCTTGTGAAGTCCCTGTAGTATTCTGTAAACTTTTGTTATTATACCTTTGTCTGAGACGATATTGCCAACTGTTAAAGAGGATAATTGTAAGAAGACAAACTAACAAGATCTATAGTGCTGTTAACTTTTTTCCATCCATATTCATGTTCTTACCACTTCCAGAGCAAAGTGTCTCAAAACTCCTAGGACCACAGCTAGATGTGTTCAGGAGAGAAGAGAGAAGAAGAAAGCAGAGTTATACCACCTCTTTTAAATTTAGATGTACTGTCCTTAGGAATTCTCATGATAGAATGGGACTGTCATACGTTCAGGCTTAAACTTTGGAGTCTTTAAAGTTTCTGAAATAACTCTGATAAAATATCATTTTATCAAAGCAGGTCACAATTATCCAAATGGACTTAGCCCTTCTGGAAAACTCCTCCACCTCCCTAAATACCCAGCTCAAATGTCACCACCTCTGTGATACTTTACCTGACAACTTCTGTGTTTCCTTCACTCTGTATCCTCAACTAGATGTTTGGTCATTCATTCTCTATGTGCCCATGATATAATTTGATCCCATTTTATATGAATTTAAGAGGTATGAACTTCTTGTTGTTGTTGTTATGTGCCGTCGAGTCGCTTGCGACTCATAGCGACCCTAAGGTATGAACTACTGATTTGATATATGGCTCCTAGCCTTTGAACTCTCAAAAGCAGGAACCATGGTTGATTAATTTTAACTTTCCCCTCCTACCACTATCCATTCCTATTGCGGAATCTCACATGAAACACACATGGAATCACACATGAATCAAGAGCTGAATAAATAGAGAATGAGAGAATAGAGGAAGGACTTGACTTTGACTTCCTTTTTTCTGGTCATAGGTATGAAAAGCAATATTAGAGGGCCAGAACAAACCGGTCACTCACTGGTTAACTGCCTTGGTTAATCACCTATGTTGTTGTTACACACCATCCGGTGACTATGTCTCTTAGCAACCTCATGAACAATAGCTCTACCTTGACCTACCCCGACTTAACCTCACCATCTCCTACAGGGTGTATTTAAGTTATTTGTAATGATTTTGCAGTAGTTTTTCTCATAATGCCTTCTCCTGAGACATCAATGGATTTTCTAACCTGGTCTAGGGCAATGCAATTGGTCTTCATGGACTTGGTCTTCTTTACTTTCATGGAAAAGGTGTTCCTGTGGTAAGAGAATTTCTTTATCTTTTCAACAACTTGTTGTAAATCACTAATTTAAAGAAATAAATATCTATAATCAGGTTTTTCAAATTATCTCATCAGAGAGAATAAAATAACTGAATGAAATATTTGCCAAATTTATGAAAAAATAAAAGCAGGACAAGAATAATAACCCTGTTACTATTTAAGAATCATAGATATTAAGTAATCTTCAAAGTTCATTTTACCTCTTGTAATTTTATAAGCAGATGAATTTATCTTTTTAGTTTAAGTTCTATCTTTAGAAGACTTTTCCCAGTATCTAATAAAATCTGCTCTTCATTTAGATAAAGGTGTAATTTACAGTGAAAATGAGATAACTGCTTCCTCGTAGACTCTGATAAAAGGATGAAATAAAATTTATAATACTTTTGATACCAATTTCACATAGATCACTCTTTTTTTTTTAAATGTGGACGGTAATTGTTGCCATGGAATTAGACATATGCTTTTGAATAATGAAGTGTAATTATCTTTCAGAATTATGCAGAAGCATTTAAATACTTCCAGAAAGCTGCAGAGAAAGGATGGCCCAACGCACAGTTTCAGTTAGGTTTTATGTACTACTGTAAGTGCTACAAACATGGCTCTTGAATTTAGAAATACAAATGCGTTAGTATGTCTTCTGGTTTTGTAATTGAAATTAAAGGTCTGATGTGAGTGGTTTAGTTAAAACTCTCAGGTAAAAAAAAAAACAAACAAACTCTCAGGTAGCTATTTGGAGAAGGAATCTGAAGACTAATTGGGAGGGATAAGTTGAGGGAGGTGCAGAAAAACATTTCTGAAAAATCCAAGTTTTAGGTGCTTTTAAAAATCCAAATATTTATATATACTGAGAAGCAAGGATCATACTTAGAAATCAAAGTTGAGAAGATTTGAGAAGCATTAACATACAGGTATTTGTTAACTAATTATGTTAAAGTAGCTAACCAAGCAAAGAAAAAAGAGAGTGTTAGTTGTTGTTGATTACCATCAAGTTGAGCACGACTCATAAGCGACCCTATGAACAAAAGATCTGAAACCTTTCTATAACTACCGTCCTTTTTCAAAGTTCATAGAGTTTCAAGAGGCATGTTGTTTAGGAAGTGGATGCCACTCCTGCTTCCAGTCTAGGGAACTTCAGTGTTGTACTAAAAACCTGGACAGAAGAAGAATAGTTACCAAGAACACTTAGAACAGATGGTCAAAAGAGCAGGGGAGAAAGTGAACCTCAAGAAATCAAGAAGGTAGAATTTACAAGAAAGCATAAATGAATTGGCAATGCAATGAAAAGCCCAGTTAAGTATAAATTAAGAAAGGATTGACTGTCCATGGGATTTGACAATATGGAGGATGTCAATGAGATCACTGACCTGGTTGGGATAGAGACAATATGGTATTTGGCTGGGCTGTGAATAAAAAAATGAGGAAGGAAATGAGAGAAAAATATTCTCGCAAAAACTGCACCTTAAAGAGAAAATCCTGGAATGGTAGCTTGAAGACGACCAAGAAATAAGAAAGAATTATCTCTAAGATGGTAGAAAAGCTGAGAATAATTTTCAATAAAGAAAAGAAAGCCACTCAGTGGAGGTGGTTAGTGAGTCATGGATGAGATGGGATAACTGATGTAAAGAGGTTCTTGGAAAAGTTGGGTGACATTAGGTTCTTACTAGGTCAGATTGGTGATGGACTTGTTTAGCCTTGTGAGAAAGGAGGGATTTCTAACCCTTTAAGTTAGAAGAGATAGAGCAAAGAATGGTACAGATGTGGATGGTGGAGAAGTAAGGATAGGATAGACCTGAAAGGTGGCAGCGTAGAGCTTCTTTAATGAGCTGAGAGGTGCAAAGTTCTCTTCTGCGAGACAGGGTGGAGTAGGAGTGGCAGAGGTCTCAGAAAATCATGAAAGTTTGGAATCATCTCAGAGGAAACAACAACAACGACAACAAAAACCCAACCAAAAACAAACCAGGGTGTGACCAAGACAAGTGCCAGGAGATCTGAGCATATTTGAGTATCTCACCAAGTCTTCCTCATCAGGTATGGAGATTGCCTCATCTGGGAGACCAGGTCTAGCCAGATCAGTGCACATTTTCCACTGTGGTCCAGGAAGAGGGCTTGTTTTGTACTTTCCTGAAGTTGAAGTCTGCTTTAGATGCCTTTTTGTTGTTGCTCTGGTTCATTCCAAGTCCCAGGTCAAACAGATTTCTCAAGTTTATAGAATGAGAGTAATAATGTGAATCCACCAGCTCTCCATAGGAGAAGGAAGGCAGTCTCCTCCCATGTGATTAACTGCCTCTGAAAACCCACTGGAGGGTCAGCTGTGAGTCGGATCTGACTTAACGGTGCACAACACACCAACAACATACATCAAGACTTTATATGTATTAGGAGTCTTGGGGTGGTGCAAACGTTTAATTTGCTTGACTGATAACCGAAAGACTGGCAGTTCAAATTCACTAACAGTCACCTTGGAAGAAAAGCCTTTGTAATCTATTTTTTTTTTAAAGCCAGCCATTGAAAATTCTGTGGTGGTGCACCGTTCTCCCCTCATACAGATGGGGTTATCATGATTCTGGAATCTGTTTGACGTGGGACTTGGAATGGTTACTAGTTCATGTATTAATTCAGTTAGCTCTCACAACACATTTATGGGGTAGTTCACTCATAAGCAAACTAAGCCAGATCCAGATCAAATATCTTGCCCAGGATTATCACACAGCTTTGTGAAATTGAGAGTCACATTCACGAACTGCCTCCTGAGCCTTTGCTCTTAACTATGACAGAATATTGCCTTAAACAGCCATGAAATGTTAGAACTGAAAGGGAAGATAATGGCCTTTTGAGATCTGCCTCATTTTCCAAATAAAGTGCCCGTTATGCCCAACTCACAAAAAGAATTGTGGGACAGCCAGAGCAAGAATCTCAGCTTCTGAGAAGCTGCTGATTTTCAAGCCCGTATACACTCTTCCTTGTTGTTGTTCTTGTTGTTATGTGCCATCAATTCGAGTATGACTGATAGTGACCTTCTGAACAAAATACCTGAATGCTGTCCTATCTTGTATGTGCCATCCTCATCATCTCTGATACTCTTCAGCCTAGTGCTGCAGTCACTGTGTCAATCCACCTCATTGGAGCTCTTCCTCTCTTACATTGAACCTCCACTTTTCCAAGCATGATAGCCCTTTCCAAGAAATAGCCTCTCCTAGCAATGGGTTCAAAGTATGAGCGATAAAACTTCCCCATCCTTACCTTCAAGGAGCACTCTGGTTCAAATTTTTTCAGATATATTTGTTATTTTGGCAGTCCATGGGCAATTCAGCACTCTTCTCCAACACCACAACTCAAAGGCATCAATTCTTCTTCTGTCATCCTTATTCATTGTCCAGCTCTCAGTGCATAACAAGTGACTGAAAAGATCATAGCCTGAGTCAGTTGTACCTTAGTCTTCAAACTGACATCATTGCTCTTCATCTTGCCCATAGCAATACATCTCCTGATTTCCTTTTCCTACATGCTGGTACCAAGAGAGTTGACTGTGAATCCAAGCAAGTCCCCCTAGATGTGCCTCCAGCTCCGAGAAATGTGTCTGAGTTGGACTGGACTTGAACTGCCCAAAGTTCCATACTTATCACTGAGAAGAGCTATCTGGCGCCCTACCATGGAGAAACGATTAGATTAGCAAATCACCTCCAGCGGCTTCTGGTCCTCAGAGACTACCACATGGGTTCCTTTACAATGCTTTATTTCTCAAAGTTACATTGTTTTTGTGTACCTTTAAGTCAGAACATAAACTGCCATTATCTTACTGATACTTGAAAACAGCATTGGTATTCCACAAATAACTGGCCTAGAGCAGCTTGACTTTTCTTGTCTGACGGGAAGTAGCAGGCCTCACTGTGGCTCGTACATCTATCGATTATAATGTAAAAATAAACCTGAGTAAGGGTGGCTCAAAATTGTTTTTCCTTTTTTAGCTGGCTCTGGAGTTTGGAAGGATTATAAACTTGCCTTCAAATATTTTTACTTGGCATCTCAGAGTGGACAGCCCCTTGCCATTTATTATCTGGCCAAGATGTACGATTCAGGAACAGGAGTGCTACGATCCTGCAGAACTGCTGTGGAGGTAAAAGGGGAGGGGAAGCTTGTTTTCAAGGGCTTTCCATTCGTCAGACAGAGGAGGTGATGCTGGCTGGTACCTTTCCTTTTATAACTTTACCTCTTTCCCTCCAGTTGACAAATGGCATTAGCTAGAGAAGAGAAGCAGTGGTATAATTTGAAGATGGGAGGAAAAGAAATTACTCCTCCTCGTGTGCATTTGGCTTTTCATCAAGTTCAGAGTTACCTCACATTCCAGTTAAGGGGCTCTTTTTGAGCCTTTAATCACATCACCAGAGCAATTGGGTGCTTCTCATAGAGTTGGGAGTTGTTACTTGGGAAATAACAAGCTGATTCAGCTTAGAAAAGGCAGTCCACTGAGAACCAGAGAGCAAGGTTCTCAGGTTTTTGATGACTTGGGAGACAAGAGAGAAAGTGGATTCTTTCTGTTTGTGCCAGCTACATACGTTTCCAAAAATGTGCTTTTAGGACGTCAGTGCTTTTCAGTGATTTATTAAACACCTCTGCTCCACCAACACAAATACCTCCACGTGGCACCCCTGCAGCTCATTTCAAAAACTGCCAGCTATTAATCTATCTTTAGATTTGCTTCTTTGCCAACTTGCTCATGAATTATGTATGGCTAACCTCTTTGGGTTACATAAGGGCTATTTAGTTCGGCTGGCTTCTGTCCCTCCTGAGCTCTGCACGCCTCTCTGGCAGTTATGTCACCTGCACCCTCAGGCACTGTCTTCCTTCCGTGTCTCCTTATCACTCGCCCTCACACAGCAACCCAGAAAAGTCCTTTGTTTTAAATAGAAGTCAATACATTCTTGTCCTGCCAAATGGGTCCTGACTTAGGAAAGTTTATCACACAAGTCTAGAATAAACCTGAACAAGTTTTCACTCCAGACAAAAAAAAAATCATATACACACACACACACACACACACACACACACACACACACCCTGTAGTCTTTGTATCTATGAAAGGCATCAACTCACCATCCTAAATAATCTGCAAAAGCCTTGCTTTCATCCTAAACTCCTCACCTGGCCAGGTAGCAGGTGCTGAAGACTGGGGGGTTTTCCTCATTTACCTTGTATGAAGTGTATTGTCTAATTATTCTACTTGCTTTCTCTTCCCATATCCAGCTTTATAAAGGTGTCTGTGAACTAGGCCACTGGGCTGAGAAGTTCCTGACAGCATACTTTGCCTACAAGGACGGAGATATAGATTCTTCTCTTGTTCAGTATGCACTGCTTGCAGAAATGGGGTATGAAGTCGCGCAAAGCAATTCAGCATTCATTTTGGAATCTAGTAAGATATATTAAACTCTCTACAATTTGCCAACCATACATTTGCATATAAGATTGCCCTACAGGGGGGAATGTAAGTCTTACTTAATGGAATGGTCCCCTTTTTTTAATAGAAAAAGCTAAAATTCTTGAGAAAGAAAAGATGTATCCGATGGCACTTCTCCTGTGGAATCGAGCTGCCATTCAAGGTAGGGACCCTAAATTTACCTCTTGTTCCATATTGTGTTTCCTGACTGGCATCAGCTGCATTCCTGATCACACAGGAAGAAGGGTATAGGAAAAGTTGATTCCATCTGAAACCTAACTGGTGGTTACTGTTGGATTAGCTTGAAGGTCTTAAATAGTATTTTCTTCGCAGGTCTAAAGATTGCTGATTTAGCAAACCATAGGCATTTCTCCATGCTCATTCTCCATAGCACCAAAATAATTGTCTCTAATGAGACAAATTTATTTATGCAGCCAGTCTTCCTGGTTTGGCTTTAGCTACTCACTTGCTGACTTCTTTACTGAACAAATTAGAGATGTGACCTACGTTTCAATGCAAGCTCATATGCAAAATTCATTTTGTATTTATTTATCTTTTTTCATTTTGTATTTAAAACTCATTTGATTTCTCTTTTAAAACATCCTACTGATGATTACCACAAATTACCTATCTTTAACCATGAATAAGAAGCAACAAGATCCTCTCCCACTTTTGCAAGATCCCCGTGGCCTGCTTGCCAGGATCCCAAGTGACAAGAAATGTTAGATGGGACAAGTATCGGCAGGTGGCATTTACATCACCCTATTCCTTCCTATTCTTTTCCTAAAATTACATTACGAAAAGCCGAGAGATACAACAGAGCTGTCACTATTGGCATTTGGATCTGCGAGGAACTCTCTTGCAGCAGGAGAGTAATTTTACTTTCAATTAGGTCTCTTAAAATCTTTTCATGCTAAGGCTAAGTCATCCCTTTTCACAGGGAGTGAATGGGATTTTAAAAAAAGGATTCTTCTGACTGGAAGATGAAAGCGAAGGACACTGGCACATCGGTGCCTCCTCAGATCCAGCTGAGCCGGTCATGCAAGAGCAAGTCATCAGTGCAAGTTTAGTGAGAAATTCCCCTGAAATAGAAAAACCTATAAGATATATATATATATATATTTTTTTTTTTTAAAGCAATAAAAGCCCTGCTTGAGCTGGGGAAGCCACATTACCAACCTCTCAGCTGTGGCAAATTAACTCAATTCCAACAAATGTGGGTTTATTCCAAGCCTAAAAATTGTGGAATTTGCACCAAGGGAAAAATGACAGTGAAAAGTAAGTGATATTAATATTAAACAGGATTCCCCATTATAAAGTCAGGTCACTGAAAAGTAATATCATGGGAGGTCAGGCAAGAAAGGCCCCGAAGATATGGCTGCTGAGTGGCTCCCTTGGAGCCAGGAAATCTAATAATGAAATAATTAGTCACCAGCATCACTTTCCCTGAGTGGGGACTGCATGTGAGCAGGGTGCTGAACTATCCAGATACAGTCAGCACCCGCTGACTACAGATCCAAGTGGAAATACCTCCCACTGCCAAGTCATCTCCCTGGGAGCCTGTCAGCATTGCTACAAGCCCCAGCCATCCTCCTCATGAAGGTGGAGCTGAGCCCTCTGCAGAACAAGCCTATCCACTGATTTTCATTCTCTGACACTTCAGGGCTCCTGCTTTATTGCTTGCAAAGGTGGAAAACTCACAAGAGGATCCTAGCCCCCTGTGTGGTGTGGCCCAGAAAGAACTCTGAGGTCAGGAGAGGGCAAGCTTGGGGCTGAAATAAAGTGAGTTTCTATGTAAGGTTTTGTGGGCCTCCCACCCCTATAGGATCTTCTGTTGAGAACTATATTGGCAAGAGAAAGATGGATAGTCTCTCTTGCAATTTAAAGTCTCCAAAACCACCTGCTAGAAGGTCAGCTATGAGTCAGTTCTGACTTGATGGATATAACAACAACAGCAATGCCAAATGGAGGGGTGTAATAGGAAGGAGTTTTATAGCCCTTAATGATATGCCTCTGATACTATAGCACATGGAATGCTTCCCCTTTTTCCAAGTCAGCCTAAGTCATACTAGAAGAGATGGTTTGAGCTCAGATGGATGTCCTCATGTGTGGCCTCATTTCTGCAGTCAGCGTTCTCTTAGTGGAATGGAATCATGGAACCGTAAAAAGGTTCCCCAAAAAAAGGTCCTTAGGAGTCAAAATAACCTTAAACCTAAAAATCTTAACAAGATGAAAGTCGCAAACCTTTAAAAGTCACATAATTTTCTTCCCCCCTACTTCGAACACATCCATATTTGCATAAAAGTTATATGCTTTGAATGACAGGAAGATGATGAAAAGGAAATGTGGCCAAGGTATTTCACAGCATGGGGATCATTGACCGCCTGAAAATAGCAGTTCACAGGGGAAGTTGTTGTTAGGTTCTGTGGGGTTGAATACAACTCACAGCTACCCTCTGAACAACAGATCTGAACCCCATCTTAGCCAGTGCCATTCTCACAATCTCTGACATACCTGCCTGTTGCAGTCACTGTATCAATTCACCTGGTTGAGGGGTTCCTCTTCTTCACTGTCCCTTTTCCAAGTATGGTGCCCTTCTCCAAGGAACCGCCTCTCCCAGCAATATGCCCAAAATGTGTGAGAAGAAGCTTTACCATCTTCAACTCCAGGGAGCATTCTGGCTGCACCTTCTCCAAGACGTATCTAGGATTCTTTTGGTAGACCATGAGATATTCAGCACTCTTCTTCAACACCACAACTCAAAGGAATCAGTTCTTATTCTACAGTATTATTTATTGTCCAGCTCTCAGAAGCATAGCAAGTAATTGAAAAGACCATGGCCTAAATCAAGCACATCTTAATCCTCAAATTGACATCATTGCTCCTCAGTAACTTAGAACCTTGACTGCAGAATTTTTCAGTGCAATATGTCCCGATATCCTGACTGCTCATACCAAGTATATTGATTGTGGATTCAAATAAGATGAAATTGTTGACAGTTACACTCTTCTTTCCATCTATCATAATCTGGCCAGTGGTGACAATTTTTGTTTTCTTGATGTTGATATGCAATCCATAATGAAGACTATAGTCTTTGATCTTCTGCAGTAGGTGCTTCAAGTCCTCCTCACTTTCAGCAAGCAAGATAGGGAAAGCAGTGGGAATGTAAGAGCTGCAGCTATGTAAAGTAGGACACTCTTTTTTAAAGGCTTGATGTGAAAATCAGAGAAATGGAGCAGTCATTAGAGCCATTCAGGGTAAAGAGAGTTTATTTTTATTTGAGGAAGATACCAGAGCATGTTTGAATGATTAATAAGATTGGTCGAGTAAAAGAGAAAGAAACTGATGACACAGGAGAATAGAATATCAGGAATGAAGTCTGAGAGCAAATGGGGTGGAAGCTTGTTTCCAATGAGTTCGACCATCTTAAAAAATACTAAAAGGTAAAATTCATAATTTATTATTTTGGAGAACATTTATGCTGTACCATAAATTGTATCCTACAATGAAGATAGTGGCATTGAGTGTTTTTTACCATATAAAATATGTCAAACTTTTGTACTACCTAAAGTACAGGGAGCTCTGATGACCTAGTGGAAAGAAACTGCTCTGCAATCCCCAAGGCACACAGTTGAAACCTACCAGCTTTTCCAGAGAAGAATGGGCCATCTCCTCTCGTGAGATTAACTGCCTCAAAAAACTCACTGGAGGCATAGATGTGGGTTGGTTCTAACAGGACAGTACAGGACAACATAAAATAATATATCAAATCTTGATCCTAGATTCTGAGGAGAGAGACAAACGTGGTTGTTACTGTCAGATCAGAACCAATTCGTAGCTGACTCTAGTGGGCTTTCAAGGTCAGCTAATTGCACAGGGGGGGTTTGTCCATCTGGTGGATTAGATCTGTGTCCCTTTCAGTTGACAGCACAACTCCTTACCACTAAACCATCAGAGCTCCCTAAGTAGATGATGATATAAGCCCCTATTTTAAGGGACTTAAAGAAGATCATTTGGTTGAATTACTGTGAACTATACAAGAATCAGGAGCTCTGGTGTTAAGAATTGCCCTGCCAATTTATCCATAGACAGTTCAAATCCACCAATTGTGGAAAAAGATGGGCAATCTCTTCCATACAATTTATACCCTCTGAAAACTCTTTAGAGAGTTGGCTACAGGCAATTAGTACTACCTCTATACAAGAATCATTTGAGTTACACAATTTTTCTTTCTAATATTTCTATCAGGCAATGCATTTGCTAGAGTGAAAATTGGAGATTATCATTATTATGGCTACGGGACCAAGAAAAATTATCAGACAGCAGCCACACATTACAGCATTGCAGCCGATAAATACCACAGCGCCCAAGCCATGTTCAATCTGGCCTATATGTATGAGCACGGTCTAGGTATTGAAAAGGTAATGAAACTTGTGATAATTCAAATGCAATAATGACAGTGGTGTAGAAGGGGGGGAATCTGTATATGCTTTGGGTTTTGTTAATACTCATAAAAAAAGGAAAAGACTTAATATTTGCTTAATCTCTCCATATGCCAACACATATAATTTAATTCAACACTTTTTATCCTAATGTCTACACTGATAAGGCAGGCATTATTCCAGTTTACTCCCAAAGATTGTTGTTGTTGTTGTTGTTGTTGTTATGTGCTGTCAAGTTGCTTGTGAGTCATCCAATTCCTTCTTATACAGTGACTCTGTGTACTCCTTCCATCTTCTCTTGATACTTCCTTGACTAGCAAGAAGGATTGGTCATCCACTTCTGAAATTACAGGCCTTCGAAAACCCTATGTACAATAGAGCACACTTAGACTATCATTTGGACTAACAGACATGGCACAAGGTGAGGGACGCCAATTCAAGTGGCTTGTGTATGGGGGAAGGAGAGGGTCTCAAGTCAACCCTCCCTCTTACAGAAAGCTGAGAAAGTCTTTCCCCTGCTTGTTAGCTCTGTGTCCCGAACTCTTGTCCTCTTTGGACCCTGGGATGGCCCCACGGTCAAAGAGTCAAGGAACTACAAATGGAGGGACCTCTCCTCAGAGAAACCACAGTTCTGTCTCCCCACAAACACTATAAAGTGCTCACTCATGCACCTTCTCTCCTGAAGCTTAATGTCTTCCTTTGTGTCTGAAGTAGTGCAAAG